GCTCCTACAACTTGTTAACTCTTTATCCATATAAATCAAGGTAGGCTGAAGGATTTCAGTCTTAGCTTCCCTAACATTTGGAAATAATCGTGTAACTGGGCTACAAGGAAGGAAAACACATTTCTCTATGGGAAAACACAGACATTTTGACATAGGAAAGACAATTGTTCTCACAGACACACTAATTTATGGGCAAAACTAATTAAGAGTGTGAGAACAACTCTATTTCAACATTTTGAAGAAGCAGAATGTCCAATCTATTTATACACCTGATTTTTCACCCCCTTGTTGCAAGGATCTCTTCCCACTTTGTTTTCTAGCATGTACTCCTGTTACACAAAATGCAGGATAATGCAGGATGAAAATAAGGATGGAGTGGGCCTTCGCCTGGATTGAGAGCTGGGGAATGAAAACACTGAATTTAAAAAACCACAATTTTCCCTGCAGAGCACTGAGGGCAGGACTGGGTTCTGCCTCTGTCACCTGTACAAGCCTCGGGAGAATTGCTGGGATTGGGATGAGCTTTAAGGGCCCTTCCAACCCAAACCATTCCAGGATGATTCTTTGGGGTTTTTTTAACACAAACTCTGAGGTTCTGATCCTTTACTGCCCCGTTTCCAGACCTATAAGATGATATCAACAATGGGGTTTGTAAGTTTATTCCAAGCAACTTTCACACAACAGTTCAGATTTGTTTGAACATCAAAGCAAAACCCAAATAAAAACCATTTTACCCCCAGTTTGGTCCAAAGCCTGTAGTTCAACCCAGGCACATCAAAAAGCCTCAGGCTTCAGGCAAGAAATCCCAATGTCATTTTGTTGGATCGTAGCTTGTGCTCCCTGCTCATGGGCACAGCAAGGAAACAAGGAATGCCAACAGTTATCCTGAGCCTTCAATGAAAATGGCAAAATCCCAGGATGGTTTGGGTTGGGAGGGACCTTAAACTAACCCCACTGCACCCCCTGCCATGGGCAGGGACACCTTCCACTGTCCCAGGCTGCTCCAAGCCCTGTCCAAGCTGGCCTCCAGCACCTGGCCCTTGGAATGACCATCCTGGGATCAAACATCTGCAGGAAGCACATGCAAAGCTCAGGTGAAACCTCCTTATTTAGGCTAAGAGATTCTCCCAGCAATTACTGGAAAAATCCCCGCCAGCATCTCATGCATCACTCAATCCGCCTCAATCCCTCAGGAAAGCTGCCACCTGAAATTCCTTCTGAAGTTCATTGGCATGGAACTATCAAAGGTGCCCTTTCACCACTTCTGAGCTGTTGGACATGCAGCTCATCCAGGAGGCCTTTGAGGCACACACAGGAATAACCGAACATTCCTTTCCTTTGAGTCCACAAGATCCAGCCAATAGATCTGAGGAAAGGAATTAAACTATTGAGGAACACAGACTTAGGGAAAAAAAAATAAAGAGGGGAATTTTCAGAAGTATCAGACTTCATGCAGCAAAATTATTGTTTTGAAAAATTTTTAATCGCAGAATGGGTTTGGGTTGGAAGGGACCTTAAAGCTCAACTTGTTGCAAGCCCCTGCCATGGGAAGGGAATCTTCCATGGGCTGGGAATCTTCCATGGGCTGGGAATCTTCCACTTGGGGACTTCGGAGTTTGTAACTCCTGGTTCTGGACAGGGTTCTCCTACGTAACTACCACAATCACACAAACAGGATAAAAGGAAATACTCCCTCTTTCTTCTCCCACAACTGAAACTTGGGAAAATGGAAAACCAGGCAGGAAGAGATTGGGATAGCCTGCCTCAACCTTGAGCTAACAAGGCACGGGTGTCTCTCCTACAGAGCTCTCAAGGGCACAGGAAAAGGAAAAAAATGGGATTATTTTCCTTGCAGTACCTCAGGATGCCAATGGCAATGACCTCCCTGACCTACAGACCACATCTCCCGCACCTTGGCCGTGCTTTCCCTCCTCCTCCTCCTCCTGCCAGACAAAGGGAATTGATCCCAAGAGGATCAGCAGGCGGGATCCATCCCGTGTAAGCCGATTACGGATCTCCCGCTCCTGACAGCCAGCATCACCCAGATGTCAAAGCTCAGAGAGAGCCCTGCAGAGCCAGGCTGAGGCTAAAGGCTGCAGATTATCCCTCGGGAAGGGATGTCACCGAGAGGATGGCACTGGCGGGAGCAGAGCAATTATCACGCTGGGAAGCACTAATTGGCTTAAAGCAAGGAAGGCACGGCGGGAAGAGGGGGAGCTCTGGTAAGGGAGTTAATTGTGGGCTGACTGAAGAGTAAAATATCACCATGCAAAGGTTGATGAATCACCAAGCTGTGGAACAACCTGGACAACTCCCCTGCTCCGCGCCATAAAACATCCCTCTGCAATTACCTCTGGAATTCACCTGCGCTGCAGGTACAGGGCCTGGCTGGGCAAGGGGACACACAAAACAGGGACAGGCAGCTCTGAATTCTCATTTTCTGAGCTGATTTTTGTCTTCTCACACTTTATTCTCTGTCATCACAAACATTTTAATCTTTTTGGCCTTTCCTTAGAAACTCATCCAAGCAGAGGAGCGACAACGGGGAGGTTCAAAGTCACAGAGGAAGCTTGAAAACGTAGAGGTTCAAAACTGACCTGAGAAACAGGGATCTCAACACTTAATATTTTATGATTTTAAACAAAAACATGCTGATTGAGGGAGAGAAACTTGACTCATTCTCTGAGCATCTGGGATTACCAGCACGGCGTTTCTGGAGGGGGCTGCAGCACATGGCTCTGCAAGCTGCTCTGATCTCTGCCTTGGCGGCTCGCTGCCTTTCCCTCCGACAGATGGGGAATCACACAATCCCACTTTCCTGAGGCTGCCCTCAGGAATCAACCAGCTGGGTCTTGCAAACCAGCTCTATCTGCGTGAACCACGTGTTTTCAGAACTGTTTTCACTCCCTGCATCAGCAGGGCACCCAGGGCCTCGTGCAGAACCGAGCCCTCGGCGCCCATGATCCCCACAGTCCCCCACACCAGTGCTGGGTGCTGTTCCAAGGGATTTACAGCCTGATTCAGCACAAGGATATGCACCTGGATGTAGGGAATAGGAACCTGAAGTTTGTGTCCATTCTGAAGAAAAACACCACTTTTCCAAGCTGCCAGAGTCACCCCAGCACCTGCCACTGTGCTTTTATAGGATCACGGGATGGTTTGGGTTGGGCAGACCTTAAACACATCCCAGTCCACCCCCTGCCATGGGCAGGGACACCTTCCATTACCCCAGGCTGCTCCAGCCTGGCCTTGGACCCTTCCAGGGATCCAGGGGCAGCCCCAGCTTCTCTGGGCACCCTGTGCCAGGGCCTGCCCACCCTCCCAGCCAGGAATTCCTTCCCAAAATCCCATCCATCCCTGCCCTCTGGCAGTGAGAAGCCCTTCCCCTTCATCCTGCCACTCCAGGCCCTTATCCAAAATCCCTCTGCAGGCTTCATGGTGGGCAGCTTGTATTTTTCACTCACAGCTTTTGCTGCTCTAAGTACATTTTTATGGTGTTCTGTCACTTCCTACAGTGGAGCCCCACTGCTGAAGAGCCCGAGGTTGGCGTCCACACCTGTGGAACACGGAGCTCAGTTCTTTTTACAGCTCTATAATCATCAGGAGATGTGTAATAACTGCACTTTTACAAGGGACCTGTTAAACACAGGCTGTGAACTGGGTCCCAGGCACTTGACGCTGCACACCCAGCGCTTCCCACAGCCTGGCTCCTTCCTGCCAGTGCCACAGCTGCTGGGGACACCCTGGCTTTGGTGACACCTCCTGCTTGCTGTGTGGCTGGGGACAACCTCATTCAGGTGCCACAATCTGCTCCCCAAGACTGCCAGGGCTGGACACCTGTTTTCAGTGCCACCTCCTTCTCCCCACAACCACCAGAGCTGCTGACACGCTGATTTTGGTGCTCCCTCCCGTTCCCCAAAACCTGGGGACACCCCCTTTTGGTGTCACCTCCCACTCCCCAAACCACTGGGGCTGGAGGCATCCTGATTTCAGTGCCACCTCCCACTCCCCGGGAGCTGGGGACACCCAGATTTTGGTGCCATTTCGTGCTCTGATGGGACTGAGGCCACCCACATTTTGGTGCCACTTTGCCCTCCAGTGGGGCTGAGGACGCCCTGATTTCGGTGCTACCTCTTGCTCCCCGAGGGGGCTGGAAACGCCCTGATTTCAGTGCCACCTCCCACTCCCCGGGAGCTGGGGACACCCAGATTTTGGTGCCACTTCACGCTCCGGTGGGGTTGGGGACACCCAGATTTTGGTGCCACTTTGCCCTCCGGTGGGGCTGGGGAGACCCAGATTTTGGTGGCACCTCCCAGTCCCCAGGAGCTGGGGACACCCGGACTCCGGTGCCGCCCTGCAGTCCCCGTGGGGCTGGGGACACCCAGATTCCAGTGCCACCTCGCTGTGCCCGGGAGCTGGGGACACCCGGACTCCGGTGCCGCCCTGCAGTCCCCGTGGGGCTGGGGACACCCAGATTCCAGTGCCACCTCGCTGTGCCCGGGAGCTGGGGACACCCGGACTCCGGTGCCACCCTCCAATCCCCATGGGGCTGGGGACACCCAGACTCCGGTGCCACCTCCAGTCCCCGTGGAGCTGGGGACACCCAGATTCCGGTGCCACCTCCCAGTCCCCGGGAGCTGGGGACACCCGGACTCCGGTGCCACCGTCCAGTCCCCGTGGGGCTGGGGACAGCCGGACTCCGGTGCCACCTCGCTGTGCCGCCGCCGCCGGGGCACGGACGCGGCTCAGCATCAGCGGGGGCGGCGGAGCGGGACCCCGAGCCCCGAGCCCGCCCCGCTCCGCGCTCCCCTCCCGGGCCCTTCCCCGCACTCACCCTCCGTGCCGGGACACGGGGACAGCAGGACAGGGAGCGGCAGGACAGCAGGACAGCGGGGTGCTCGCCCCGGCCGTGCGGGCGGAGCGGGCGCAGGAGGCGCCGGGGCGGAGCGGCGGCTCGGACACGCCGTGCCCGCCCCCGGGGCGGTGGCACCTGCGGGCAGGGCGGGACCCCGACACCTGCGGGGAGAGGGGGCGGCTCCCCAACCCTCCCGGGGGTCCCTGGAGCTGAAACCCCCCCGACACCCCCATCCCTGGACCCGCGCATCTGTTTTCCATCAGAGCGCATCAAGGTGAGCATCAGGGATCCGGATCCCGAACTACCGAATATCCTCATTTTAGGATAAATGCAGCTTCCCTAGGGATCGGCTCTGCTGGAAAGTAAATTTAAAGTGTTTCAGTTTGAGCTAAGTGTTTGAATCAGCGGCAGCCTTGCGGTGGGTCTTTTTCTAGGGATGCAACTCCCATTCCTTTGTTTTCCCTGCGCTCTTGCGAAAGGTGGATCTTGGAAATGGATACAGTAATTAGTGCTGTTTTCATAGCGTTAATTAACAGCTGCAATCCCACATTCCGAAAACGAAATTGTAGGGATACACTTGCAAGCAGTCTGCTCTCTAATTGAGTTCGTCCTCCAGGCATGAGCTTTATCGAGGAGATCTTGAAGGGTGAATATTTTTTGACTCATGGAAGGAGCTCTGGCACCCTGCAGTGTTTGCCTTCCTCTGCAGGACTTTTGGGGAATGTTTGGACTTCCCACCTGCTGTCCTTAATATAAACCATCTCCACTGGAAAGCCTCTTTTACCCAGGTGGAGCCATCCTCATCCTGCTGGAGCTTCTCAGAGGGGGAGGAAGTGCCTCTTGTGCATTGAAACCAACATTTGTCACAATCCAAAATTTATTCAGCATTTTTAACAATCGACCCCAAATTTTACTGGACTAATTTCTAAGTCTGTTTATGTTTTTATGGTGCAAAAACCACATAATTCGAGTCTACTCAGCAGCAAAAAAAAAAAAAAAGACGTGAGCAATCCATTCCTACAGAAACCTTGGAGCACCCAGAATTTGCATTGCTGAGAAGAAAAGTAATGATTTAATTGTGAAATGCTCAGAGTAATAATTACTGGAAATAAGCTGTTTCTAAAGCTCCCAAGTATGACTTTAGGGAAGTGGCAGGGACACACAAATTTTTACATAAAGTGAGTGTAATATTCCTATAAAAATGGAAATACATGCACAAGGGAAGAGTCTCCCTGTCATCCTCCAGGCTAATGAAAAAGAGGAGGAAGAAGGAATATATCCATGGAGAGGTAGTACAGAGGATGAAATTATTTATTAAAAAAAAAAAATTAAAACTCTGCTGTGTTCATTCTCCAGTCACCCAAATCTTTTAATTAGTGCCCCTGGATCCCTGTCAGTGTCCAAATCCAGATTGGACAGGGCTTGGAGCAACCTGGGACAGTGGAAGGAGTCCCTGCCCATGGCAGTGGTGGAATGGGATGAGCTTTAAGGTCCATTCCAACCCAAACCAGTCTGGGATTTTATCATTTTGTGAATTCCTTTCTACAGGTTCAGAAGGAAAGCTGAAATCCAGCGGGGACTCAGCCCACTTTGGAGTGTGGTTCCACTGAATGGAATCTGGGAACATCCACAGCTGGGAGGGACCCACAGGATCATGGATCCAGCCCCTGTCCCGGCACAGGCACCCCAAAATCCCACCCTGAGCATCCCTGGGAGCGATCTCTAAATTCTCCAGGAGCTCTGGGGCTGTGCCCATTCCCTGGGAGCCTGGGCAGTGCCAGCACCCCATGGGGAAGAGCCTTGCCCTGACACCCACCCTAAACATGCCCGGACACAGCTCCAGGCATGCCCTCAGCCCTGTCCCTGTCACAGGGAGCTGTCGCTGCTGCACGGAGTGCCCTGTCCCGTGTCACACCAGGCCCACACGGCAGAGTTCAGTTCAGTTTTATTTTCCACTGTAACGGATTTCGAATGATACATCATGCAGTCTGCCAGTGTATCCATCCATCTCCGACAGAACTTCAGCACGAAGATAAAAGACTTCTCTCCACGGGCTGGGGGGAGGAGGAGGGTTCAGGTCTGCTATCAAGAGTTTAATACAGTTCAGCATCATTTGATGCAATGGCAAAAAAAAAAAATAAAAAAATTTCCCCTTGTTACCAGCAAAACGTGTCCACCATTTATTTATCTTTTTTTTTTGTTTTGTTTTTCTCTTCTTTTTTTTTTTCTCCTAAATTGAACACTACTGTAAAGATACATAGAGCCCAGAGAATACACATCTGCAGTACACGTTACACACTTTACAGACTAGACAGGGCTAACTCTACGCAGTGCCTCAGCCCGGGGGCCTCCATCCCGCACAGCGGATGGACGGCTCCTGCAGGCACACAGAGGACAAAACCAAAGCAAGGGGAGATCCAGATTATCCTGCCCACTCCTTTCCCTCTGTGTCCCCCCGTGGAGGAGTACTTCAGGCATGGTTATGTGAGGTATTTCTCCTCCAGCGAGGGGAATCTGGTGAGCCCTTTTCTTTCGGACCTGCGTCGCTGTTGTTTAAACAGTTCTTCCAATAAAACCATGCTCAAATTAGAAATCTTGATTTCGTTTATTTTCCAGCCTTAGGGCAGGGTTAGACAGGATATTGGGAAGGAATCCTGTGAGGGGGGGCAGGCCCTGGCACAGGGTGCCCAGAGCAGCTGTGGCTGCCCCTGGATCCCTGGAAGGGTCCAAGGCCAGGCTGGGCAGGGCTTGGAGCAGCCTGGGACAGTGGAAGGTGTCCCTGCCATCAGCTGTTCTATAAAATCCCTTCCAACCAAACTGTTCCATGATTCTATAATTTATAAAGATTTCAGACAAATGTGCATCTTAGTCCGTTAGGCTTTATAAAGTGAAACTGAAAAGCTACTCAAGGCTCTGTGGGCGCGAATTGTTGTAGCAAAATTTTTTTGGTGACTTATTTTTAAGTTTTCAGCATCTTCAGGATAATCCAGCTCTCACCCTTGTTGAGTTTAATACAAAACTTAAAAATGCATCAGCCAAGGTCTTTCCAAGCTTAAAACTTTCCTTGCTTTCCAGAAAACAAGTCGATGAAACGTAAACTCAAGGACAAACACAGGATATTTGAACATATCAATAAGAGAAGCTCAAGTGAGCCAGAAATACTTTTCAATTACTAGCAAAAAGAACAATATGCACTTTAGTTCCATCTGAAATCCGTTTTCCATTTGGGAATGGTATTTCCATCCCAGTTTGTCCCATGCATGACATTTTTGGATGTGAAATTTCATTTGCGCTGTACAAACCACAACTTTAAAAATGAGCCTGGAATAAATAGAACACAACACTCAAAGAGCAAAGAAAGGAAGATGGGGTCAGGAAACAGCAAGAGACAGGTTCTGATCTCTGCAGAGCAGATGTGTGGTTTTCCTTTCCAGATATAAAATGTGAAAGCCTTAGAAATGGTACAAAAGTTGAATATACAACACGCGGTACAAACTGAAGTTGCCTAATTAAAATAGGCTTCAAAAATAAAAATTGATACAAGCAGAGTATGTTCAAGTGAGAATTTGTAATTTCCAACTATCAGATATCTCGGGTATTTAATTTTGAGGATTTTAGGCCAAGGCATCTTTGGGGCACTGCTGAAAGTCCTCCTGCAGTGTTGGTGTAAAAGGGAACTTGGAGAAACTTCGTCGTTTTGCTGCTGGTGGCACTGACTGGCTGATCAGCACCAGCACGAGGAAGAGATGTCCAAGTTCACTTCTCCCTCAAGCTGCAGGGAGCTGGCAGAACTGTCCCCAAAAATTCCTGGTGATGCCTTGAGGAATCCAGACCTTTTTGTTGTCATGAATGCTGCATTTACAATAGAATTCTGTACCGAACTCTGAGAGACACAACAAAAAGTTTGCCTACAGTACAAAAATCTTCGACAGCAAATAAGCTTGGGATCTTTTCCTAGAACCAAAACAAGAGGATTATTAATTCCTAGTAGAAAGCTCAGCTCTGACCAGCTGGTAAGATAGCACAGAGGAGTTCTGAGTTAGTGATTTTATTAAAGATTGCATATGGCAAGTTCACAGTTCATTCTTCTGGCAGTGCACATGCACGTAACGAAAGAAAATATAAAACTTTGGAAAATACAAAATAAATTAAATACATGCAAATCTGCAACTTCATTAAATATGTTTAGCAAAATGCTCCCCCAAAATAGTGCAACATTAAAAAAAAACACACCTCAAAAAACAAAAAACAAAAACCAGTTAAATTAAGTTTAACTTACTTTGCAACACCCTAATTTCAGTAGAAAAAAATACCTAAAGTCAACTCACAATCTTCCAAAACGCTCTACGGAACTGAAGAGCTCTACACCTACACATTCAGAAATTAAAAAAAAATCCCAATCAATCTCAAATTAAAAAAGAGCAAACGTCTGCAAAAGAAGACCAGAGGGCTACGCTCGGCTGGAGCTTTCCTGGAATTCCAGCTTCCTGGAGCCTTCCTGGAATCCCGGCTTCCTGGAGTCCCACCTGCCCCAGGAGATGGGGAGGGAGGGAGGAGGAGGAGGAGGAGGAAAAGGAGGAGCAGCACCTTCTGCCTGCCAGCAGAACCTTCCCAGAGCAATTCCAGTGCCCCCTTGCTGGGAAGATGGAAATTTGCTGTCTGAGAGATCCAGGGAAGGCTTTTCCTTCCCTCTGGATCTTCCACAGGATGTGTGGATATAATGGCTTAGAAAGACATTCCCTTCCCCTGGAAACGGGCTCCTCACATCCCAGCAAAAAAAATTCCCAAATTTGTTCTACAAAGGACAGTTCGAGTGTACAACTCTCACCTCCTTTAGGATTTTTTCTAAGGAAAGGTTTGGGGGATTTTATTTTCCTTTGTTCTGGTAGGGGACTGTTCCCTCCGGGATCTGAATTCCGGTGTGAACAGATCAGGGCTTGTCTGGGGAAAGGAGGAGGGGGGAGATGCTGGTCGGATTTTCCAAGGCAAGATTTCCACAGCATTCTGAAATCCTTCAAAAACTCCTAGGGAACAACTCTTACAAACACGTGGCTAAGCCGTCCCACTCCAGGAAAACCCACCACTGTAGGGAGAACTACAAGGGAATAGGAGCTGAATTTTGAAACAGGTCACACAGATAAATTCATGGAACTACCAAACTTCAAATCCTACATCTATACTAACAGATTTCTCTGCATCCCATTTGTTCTTTACCAGGTACTGCAATAAAGGTTATTTTATACAGTCCAAAGATATTTTTTTTTTTAAATCAGGATATTACAAATGGTTCTTTGGGGAAATTTCCTTCTGAAAATGTTAAGCAGTAAAATTAAACCACATAGCAGCACATTTTCATCCCCTAAAAATATAAAATAATATGTATATTATACAGGAAATCAGTCATGACAGAGCACAATCACCTGCCTTTGATGGCACTTGGTCATTGAGTAATTAATTCCTTGATGCCAGAAGTCGGGAATTACCGATGCCAACGGAGGACTCGGAAAAAAAACAAACCAAAAGCATCACTCTGAGTGGAGAAGCCCCAACCTAAGCAGCGCCAAGGGGTGGTGGAATTCGGAGTGGCAGACTCCCTATCATCCTTACTGAGGTGGGGATGTTCCAGACACTGTACAAGGATCTGGAGGAGCTGAGCTGGACACTTCTGTACACGTGGAGATCCTACGAAGCTCGGAGTACCTGGAGCGGGGCGTCGCCGCCGGCCGTGGGAAGCGCAGGATGGGCAGGACGTGGGCCGGGTTGGAGAGGGGCAAAAAAGAAACTAATGTGACTTAATGACAGTCCTTAACATGCTAAGTGGAACTGACCTGCCAGAGAGAGCGAGAAAGGGAAGGGAAATTAGTGGGTTTGGGGGGTTGGAAAGCAGAGCGCCCAAATGGGATGGGCAGCAAACAAAGATCTGCAATCACGTTTTAAAAAGTTATGGAATTTGGGTCTCACAAAATGAGCCAGTGATCCTGATGGAATTCACTCCCTGCCACCTCTGCAGCCTGGAGTTATGTCTCACCCAAACACTGTGGGAAATGGATTTGTAAAAAATTCTCAACATGTGTTAAAATTCACACCATCACAATCAAAACCCAACTATTTCCTAATTACAAAACAATATAAACCTTTCTTAGCCTATCAGCTTTTACCACATCATACTACAAATGCCTTAAAGCCAATAATATAAAATTACCCCTCATGAGTCCTGCTACAATACATCTTTCATAGTTCTGTTTCTCCAAAGTATCCAGTCTTTTTTTACAAAACCATCCCTTGAAATTTATTTCTAGTTCCATTTCTCTCTCAACAATGTCTGTCCTATTCCATGGTATTTCTAAATCAACATTTCTTATCTCAAAGTTTACATACAGATACACACTATGTGAACCTTCTATCAAGTTTTAAGAATTTTCTACAAATCCATTTCCCACAAACACTCCAACTTTTTTTTCCCCTTTAATTTTCTCTTCCTTTCATGGGATTTTTCTCTTGGCTCATTGGATGTGCTGAAGAGCTGGTGTGTTTTTATCTCATGTAATAAGGTGGGAGGGGGGAAAGTAACAGCAGCAGAATTTGAAAATTATAAAATCAAAAGGATGAAAAAATACAAATTCAAACCAATCCTTCTGTTCTCTGTCTCCTGACAGAAATATTTTCCTGATATATATACACATATATAAAATAAGTGTTTACAGAAAAACCTGAAATATCTCATATATAATATCATGATAATATTATAAAAATATACTCTATAATTTTATATATGCACATTATACAAGCACATTTTATTAAAACCCACATTTCTTTCTCTTCCATCTGCTGGGTTAATCAATCATAACCACCGACCAGTCTAACAGCACTAAGTGTCTTTTATCTTTATGGTGAATAATGAATGAACACAAGATAAATCTCTCCTCAGCAAATGTTGAAACAGGAACTTCAATTTTATTTCTCTGCTGTTAAATGACTACAAAAGAGAGTTTTGTTCTAGTGCCAGCTGGGTAGAGCTGCCCCATTCCAAAGCACTTTCTGCAGAGCCTAGGAATGTCTGAACAATAATCAGGAAAAAATCTGGATGAAGTTCTCCCTGCACTGGCAGCACCTTTACTAACACCCTTACTCCAACCCCTGGGTTTCCATCCAGGCTCAGAATTCAGGTTGCTCAGATACTCCCAATTTTGGCAGCCAAATACTTGGAATTTGCCAATAAAATTCTTAACCAAAGGACCAAAACTGAGGAGAACTGACCTTCTCCAATCACGCTGCAGCCTCCTGGACTACACCTTCCACACTTATTTCTGGATGTGAGCAAAAAATCTAGAACACATTGTTGAAATGGTTTCTTTCCAACCTCTAGGGCTGCCATTTGGTTTCCAAATTTTTCCTGTTTTTTCCAGAAACCCCAAGCTGTAACTTTATCCAGTTTCTCCTGGTATGTTCCATCTTCTTTTACTCCAGCCTCATTTTCCCTGGTGCTCCTCTGCAACATGGCCTGAACCTGCTCATCTCCATAGCCCTCAAATTTAAACCTCAACATCTGAAATATCTGGTATTTTATGCCTCCTGATTGCTTTTTCTTGGCTTCCACAGTCCTGCCTTGTTATTACAAACCCATCTAGTTTGAAGTGTGGTTATTTCATTAATACCTTTCATTAATCTACAGTTGTTCACCTGACACGTGTGGCCTGTTTGAGTCTGACTCTTCATTTCACTGCAGCTGGCAAATTAAAGGTGCATTTACTTGAGGCAGGTGGCAGCTTTTCCCCCTCAGAGTAGCTGTTACAAGAAATGTTTAGAAATCCTTGACAAGGCTCTGTATCCCACTTTTTGCCAGGTCACAGAGGTGGGAATGCAATGAAGCAGATGGGCAGAGGCACCTCACTCCTGAGGTGGAAAAGCCAATTTCAGACCAGAATGGACAAAACCACTCAGCAAAGCCTTGCCCTAATTTATCCACAGAGGAAATATTTGTTGCTGGAAGCTCATGGCAAACACAATGAGCAGGAACAATCCCCCAGCACAATAACAGCTTGAGTGTGGCGTGATGGATGCTTGGCATGCAAGCCTGACATGAAACACTCCCCAAAAAAAGCTAAAAACAACCAAGAATGCCTCAAGGAGACCACAGACCATAAAGAGAGTTGTGAGACAGAATTAATCCTCAAGGAGGGCAGAAAGCCAAACTTGGAGGGACAAGTTTGCTGTCCCCAGGCTGCTTTTCTCAGCCACCCGCTGCCATCCGGCTCTTGGCATGTCTGTGGCATAAAGTGATCATGTAAAATAATGCAGATAAAAAATCTCTCCAATAATGAGCATGTAAAGAAAGAAATGGCAGGATGGAGTCCATGGAACAGTCTCCTGG